CTCTAGCTGCAATAGGTGTTCCATCTGCAAGACAAGGTGAACTGGTGTTATGGTGATGGTGAATAATTTGCACATTTTCAACAATATAGTATTTGGAATTTTTTTTTCTTTTATAAAAGTTGTATGAAGGTATATTTCAATTGTTTTAACAGCACCTTTTCTTTGGTGATTTGTCTCAATTTAATGAAATTTTTTCCTATTAATCGAAGACCTTTTTGACACTAAAACTAAGAAATAGTTTTCAAATTTTAAAATCGTTTTTCTTTACTAAAGTGTTTATGCTCTTTTCAATCAATGTGAACTGGATGTGTACTTTGTGTCTCCTGAATCTCTCCATACAACTACAAAATGGCGTCTGATTCATCGGAGTAGGACATTAATGCAGAGAAGATTTGCCATCAATTACATCTTTGTAGTGAACTTGCAACCAAATTTAAAATCTGAGATGGTTCAACGCTAAAAGACAAATGTTCAATTACTAGCACCATTGTATTCCAAAGAATGAAGACTAAAACCTTCCTGAATACTTCCATTCAAGTAGGGTGAAATGAGGACTGTGCTTTGGAGACCTGTTGTCCATAGATTTAAATCTAAACAAAGGAGAGTTTCTTGAACGCACTGTGTTCTAGATTTAAGACTGGAAACAAGGTTCTTGTCAAATCAGTTGATGGAAGAAAATATTTTGTTACACTTATAATTTCTTGAGCGGAATCAGATTCTTGTATTCAATAACTAAATTGAATGAATCTAGGGGCCTTTCTCAAGAAGATTTTGACAAGGAGTGCGAAGATAGAAACTGAGGGTCACTGTACAATTCAATTTGCTACTGACATCATTTTATCTCCAAGTTCCACATGATTTGGGTGTTTAAGAGTTTCGCATAGTTGAAACTCACCCTCAAAGGTACCTGAATGAAAGCCACTGACTTGCAATCGTCTCTATTTTAGCAAGTCCACATTTCAAACACTAGTAGATGAATTAGCACATTCAAAATCAACTAACCTCTGCATTTCAGAATTGTCAGTTACCATAAGCTCCGATTCCCAACTCTCAACATTCCACAATGATTTATTATTTATGCCATCTAAGTTGCATATTCTAACAGTGAAAATACATGTAAAATGTTACGAGCTAGCAGAATCTATGCTTATCGAGATTGTCAGAGTTAAAACAATAGTTAAATCGATTATTACTCGCTCATGTTCGTACCCAGTAAATCCTTTTGCCTTGTTAACTAACATGAATAGAAATTGGATATAGAAAGAATTATTCGATTTACATATCATTTCTTTCCTTCTGAAACAAGCTGAAACAAGTCAGCCACTTTGGATAATGACAATATGTGGTGAAGGTTATTTCTCACTTGAGATAATGTTGTAATTTAATTCAATTATTTGGATAATCGATTTGATTTTTTGCTTGGTGAACAGTTCTTACTATAAGCATTGGCATTCATTTCAATTAACCACATGGTCGTTATATGGTGTTCTGAAATCCTTCCTTTTAAATCCTTTGCTAATACACTCTTCTATTATTTAATCTAATTTATTTTTTGCTTTCAGTTTTGGTTCGAAGTTGCCTTCAGGCGGTAAATCAAGCACCTCTCCAGCAACACAACGCAACAAGATCCGATTCGCCACCATCTACGACCTTTCCAATGAGGCCAAATGGCTCTCTTAACTCTGGGAACTCAATCGACTCCCCTCTTTCTTCAAGGTCACCTCTGCTGGTAATATGCTCGCCCACTTAGGCTATCCCCTCATTGGAGTGAACACGATCCAGCTAAATATGAAGGCAAGCCGTTGAATATATTTAATAAAAGAAGACAAAAATTAATTTATTGCAGGGATATGATTTGGTGTAGTTGGTCTATAAAGCGCCATCTTTTCCTGATCCAAGATTTTGGCAAAGTAGTGATTGGTGTTAGGATTTATTTATTTCAAATGGCAGGCGTTATGATAGTTATCATTAGTCCTTTAGTTGACTTCAGGCTTCACAGAGGGAAAGGGAAATCGAAGTGAAAAAAAGTCGAGAGGGGGGGGAATAGAAGAGTGTTTCAAATATGTAAAAGAGATAGGCACAAAGGTAGAAAAAAGGTGAGGTGATTACTGTGGAAGTAGTGGAATATGACAGAGTGGGATGATGGTAGTCTGAAGTGAGAAGTCAACTGCCAGTTAATAGACTTTTTTGCCATATGAGTATACGTCGCTCATTGGGCACCACATGGAGGTAAGTCTATCGCGCACCCCGGTGTTAGGATTCGTATTTAAGTTTTTCCTCTGGGAATTCCAAACTATTTACATCTATTGAGAACTTTCTTATTTATCGGGACGTCGACTTTATCAAAATCCATTGCTAGCTGTAACAGCTTTGTTAAAGGAATGGCGCTTAAAAGTGTTTCAGGAGATAAGTCCCGTTTATCCCCTTTAAATGTACTTTCTAGTAATAAGCTATTTTGAATTTGATATAACAGTGGATTGAACATTCAGGGTTATCCGAGAAGTCCTTCCAACTTATTTAAATAACCGGGATACTCACTTGCGTTTTGAGTATCGAAGACTTTTTACAGAGACTGGATAATTATGGCCACTAAGTTGGTGCATATCCTCTACTAATAGCTTATCCCTCTTTGTTTTGGTCTGAAATGACTGGTTTTTGATTTGACAATTTCCCCTGTTATGACGTGGAGCATTCAGGACTATGTTCCATCTAGGATCCAAATTTGGATTTTTATGTATTGTTTTTGATTGTACTACCTTAAAAATTTGAGTTCTCATCAAATCGTCAAAAGACGACTTCGTCGAGCTGAATTATTACTTTTGTGGATGATCGGCCTGTAATAGCGTTGTCCTTGTCACCGTTTTTAGTGTTGAGTTATGCAGTGCTCCTCTTTTACACTGAGAAGTCAGGCGATAAGCGTTCATCGTTTCACATCTAGTGGTTTGGACGACCAGCCACACTGGCCAATTCTATTGAACAGACTGGTTGGTAGAATGCAAATTTCTCATTTGAGTAACCCCGAAATAGCTACTCCGCACCCAAATATTGTTGAGGCTTTCCTCAGCGAGCCTATGATGTTTTAGTTATCAGAGCATGAAGGATTAGTAGCTATTTTGTTATCCACAATATGAAATATCAATGCGTATTTGTTTCTTGTGAACCTCTCTTTCTTTTTATGATTAATTTAGTTGCATATTTATTATCATGATTTTCTTAGCAGATTCCAAATGCCCGAATAACTGGTCACCAAGAGGGCAACAATATGTGTGCAGTGAATATTAACGTTGACCCTGGAGATTGCGAATGGTTTGCCGTTCCTGAACAGTACTGGGGTTCTATTCACCACCTCACTGAACACCAAGGTCTCGATTTCCTGACCAGCTCCTGGTGGCCTGACGTAGAGGAATTGCGACAAGAGGGCATCCCCGTGTATCGCTTTCTCCAAAAACCCGGTGATCTCGTGTGGTTCAACGCGGGCACGGTCTTCTGGGGTCAGGCACTGGGATGGTGAAGAACAATATTGTATGGAATATTGGAACTATGATGCCGAGGCAATAACAACTGGCCGTGGAGAGGTTTGAGTATGATCGATTGAGAAATGTAAAATCGGCAGTGCCTATGATTTACCTCTCTTGGCAGTTGGCGAAGAATGTTAGGGGATGCGATTAACAGCTGTGTGCTCTCATAAAGTAAGTTTAGAGCTAGGGTATATAGTATTGGACCTAAAATGTCTATTTATAATGTCGTTTTAATGTAAATTTCCAAGTCCATTTAGAAAAACGTTTTCCAACAACTCATCTTGACCTAATGCTTTCATTCGTACATTTCCACAGGAATTAATAATGTTTCTGTTAAATAATAAAGATAATGTATACATGATGTCATTTGGAAAAGTGGATGCTCATCTATGTGGTTATAGTTTGTGGTACCAGTATGAGTATTCGGCTTACTGCTCAGTTCAGTCGACCTTGCGCTGTTTCACCTGTTCATTGTGGTTGGCATTCTGTGATATATATCATCCGAAGATTTGGAAGTTAAAATCCTCTTGTTGATTGCTAAGTCTCTGGAACATGATTGACAATTTGCTCAACTTTCTTTCGGTTTGGGTTATGCACTTGTCTGCCCATAGATTTCTGGTCGACCTAATTTTTCAACCAGTCTATGCTTATCTTCCTTTTACTTATCTTCAGCAAAGCGAATATTTCTTTCATTATTTTATCGCTAGAAACATTTAAATGCCATTTCAGGCAAAGGTTTTAGAATCCGTTTTAATCGCTAAGATATCTTGAATTCATTTTATGTCGTGCAATTATTTGATGCCAGAATATTATAATTCGTTCACTGAATGGCGTAACCTTTTATAATAATGATGTTGTTTACATTATTGCTAACTTACGAAAACACGATTCTTCAAAGTATTTGTTAGTTTAAAGAGGACTAAACTCCATTGTTTCAAAATGTATATTACAAAAATACTTTCATCTGCTCTAAAATTCCAGATATGAGATTGTGTTTAGATGGACATCATCTCCTCTGTCGCCAAAGTGTAACCTTAAGCATAAGAAAATGGGAATAAATACGACAATTATCATTCAACAACAGAGTAGATGGAAAATCTCTGAACTCAGAACTGGTAGTTCACTTTTTGGTCTGGTACAGGTTGCTTGGATCATTTCGTTCACGGTTTCAACTGAAGCAGATATTTGACATTTGAAACAGTTCAGCTATAGTTTTGCAAGTTTTTGCTCCAAAAATATCATAATGAATCACGAAGAATCAATCGAAATATCGCCTTACTTGAGGGATAATATGAAACCTCTTAAATAATCCAGGTAAGTATTGGAAGCGCCTCTTAAAAAGGAAGCCCAGTTTATTATTATTAAATTTTCGAATGCATTAATAAAATAACTCTGATTGGAACTTATTCGTTATGCAGTACGTGTTAAAAGTACCTACGTTATATTTAATTGCATGATGTTATTCAAATGCAATTGTATTGCTGACATAGTAAGTTATTAAAGTTAATTGGGAAAAAAACTTCTAATCTTATCTGAGAAAGCGTTTCCTTTCTCAGCTTTCATCTAAGGATATAGTTGTGGCCTCTCGGTCAAGAGATTTTCTAGTGTAGTCAACCATTTCGCCTCTGACTTCGCACACCGACCCATAAAGATCATTCGATAAATGCTTATAGGTAGTTTTAATGACACTCTTGTCCATTTTAGCCCTACTATTGATCATGGTACTTTCGACTTTCCCAGCATTATTTTCACACTTTATATAGGAGTACCCTTCTTCGCACAATGGTGAATTCTCAAATTATACTGGATTTCCTTGAGCAACTTCGAATTCCCGTCAAACGACACGGAAAGAAACCCGATGAAATCGCTCATAACTGCCAAGATTGTGAAGTTGGTAAAATGCCCAAATTCATGCGCTCAATATTGTTTTGAGTTTCTTCTTGCTAATTCGTTTGCCTATTTTAGATCGAAGTTTTCAATATTCTCTTTGCAACAACGCAAGACAAACGTTCTGAAGTTAGGTGCTTCTCATGTGCACGCCGCAATGATCCCAGTTTGCAGTCCTTCAGTGTTCTCTCTGAATATTACATGTCTGAATTAGCTACCATCTATGACAACTTCCAAACTAATACCGTAAGAATATTTACTCATAGTTCCAACCTATTTCGAATTTTGTATGTGTAGGTTAATTTGTCCTCTTCTCTATTTTACAGCATCCTATCGTAGCCTATACCGTAGGGAACTGGCCACTTCCCCCCTCCATACTACCTTATACTCATCTCCATTGTAGCAACATGCCATTCCTTCTGCAATCGTTTTATGTCTGTATTTACCACTTTACTTTTTTTCGATTATTTTCTATTATCAAGTAAATGTTCGTGTACCTGAAATATTGGGCTTTAATCTCAAGTAAGAAGGAAGATAGTGCAAATGTGGATAAAATTTACTACGCGTGATAGAGAGAAATAGGAAAGGAAATAGGTTGGTGGGATTTTAGAAGTTCATATTGGCTTGGTGTTAAAAGGTTACACTTGAATTACACTATACTTGCAGTTCATTAGAACAAAAGGTTGTACCACCAGCTTGAGACGAGTAGGTCGAATACATAGCTTTCCTATAGATAGTTTTTTGGTGAAGGAACAAGAGGCAAATGAAGGACTTCAATCTTGGATTTAAGATGTGAAAAGGATCTATTTGTTCCTCGAAACCGAAAAAAATGTGTGAACACGCGGATGAAATGCTCGCATTGATTTGCATTTACTTGACCCTACATTTCGGGGATCGTTTAAGGTTAGTCCGGTGGAAGGAAGTGGACGTCCGAATCGGCCAGTTTCAAAAGGTTGCGTGGTGGCCCTACTCACTTTTCTAGATTTTTAGGTAATTAAAATTTTTTCTCCAATAGTTATGATTTTACCATAGCTGAGCTTGAAATGCTGGTCGTGTTAAAAGAATTGCTTAACATTTCCCTTCCGAATGCTCAATTCAGTTTTCTTATTCCGTTCATTTTCAATGGAGGCAAGCTTTCGATTCTTAACCAAACCCAAGAATGACAAATGAGGACAAACGCTGTGTGTCTTAAGCTAGCCATTAACATTCTTGTAATGCTTCCCTAACCGATGCTGCACAAGCGATTGCATATCAAAGTGTCCTGTCAATATTGGGACATTGGAAACCACATGCAAAACCTCTGAAAGAGCACATCTTCATTGGATCAAATATGTTAGTTATAACTATTTCAACGATGTTAACCATATTGGCACTCACGTAGAGCTTAAATACCACGAGTGTCATGCAAAGAACGATCATACCAAATGAAAGCTTACAGTTGAACGCTTATTTACAAGCCGAATATCAAAAATACTGTATGCTATTTAACATGTATACGTTGCCATTATTCATACTTACGTGTGCGAATGCTCGGTATAGCCCTCTACTTACGTGGATGTTAGGGTAAATCTCAATACAAGCAACTTATTTCAATCCTTAGTCAACACTTTTACAGAATTGAACGTCAAAAGTACTGAAATAGAATCAGGTAGTGGAACCATATCCATTGTTATTTTATGTCATTTGAGAATTGGACTAGAGTACAAATCAAGGCAAAACAAGAGGTATTAAGAAACCAGTTGCCTACAGACGGGGAGAACGGTGTCACACCAATGTGTATGCCATGACATGTCGGTAGATTGTTTAAGAGTGTGGATGTTTCGTTTAAGGCGGATGAGGTCAAGAGAATCTCCCACGCCCTGGAAGTCTTCTTTTGGCATCAAGAGTTGTTCTAGATAATTGGCTAATTCGTTGGGGGTTCTGAAATGGTAACCCAATTGGCCGTCCGGGAGGAGTTCAGAAAGAGCAGGGTAGGCCAAGGCGAGCACTGGTACTTCAGCACCAAGTAGGTCAACAACCTGAGAAGGCAGAATAGAATCAAGTTTGGGTTTGGAAAAGATCCAACTAGTAATACACATGTATAAGCAAATAAAAGTGAAGAGGTATTGATATTGAATATCAAAGAAAAAATAGCTATCTTGACTCAGGATAGGTTTAGATTAAAGAGGCTACTTAATACAATGTAAGATAGTACAACCTTCTTGACCTTCGGAAGAAATATATGAAGTGGTGAGACCGAGCACCCTTTCTTAATAAGCTGGTTTAGTAAACTGGATATCGTTGAGAAGAATTTATCGGTAATTCAAGGGCCAATTCATTGAACCAAGATCTAGGAACATGAAGCAAACATTTTATAGACCGAATTCTAATAGTTTCACTTTAACTCAACCAATAGAATGGTGTTGACTTTACGAATTCACGAAATAATAAGAGGACATCGTCAAAAAGACTATCGAGCTAAGCCCTAAGTAGTGAGGTGTCTAGATAGAATGATTTGTAAATTTAACCAACATGTACAATGAAAAGGTGAATTAGAAAATCCGTCACATTCAGTGATCCTCTCAGTTTGGACAGCAAGATTGCAAAGAAGATAATAGCAATTACATCAGATAATTTACAAGCATTTTCGAATTGCCAATATTTGAAAATGGAACCAGCTCGGAACAATGATATAACTAAAAATATGTACCTTCATAGGGAGGTCTAAATTAGAAGTGCTGTGATGCAGACTAACACCCAGATCAGCAGAACCAAGAAGCAGAAGATAGTCATTCCATTCCAACCACGGAGTGAGAACTTCCACATGTTCCCAATTTCTCCCCGCAATCATAGCTTGGAAATGCGCCTTCAGTGGTCCTTTACCTACAACACCACAGTTTTACTGGCTAAAAATCAAGGTTGAAATTGGATTGAAGTGGGCGTGATAGAAACAGTAAGTACCAGTAACAATGCAGATGAGTTTGTGATAATGAATATTGGGTGAAGAAGCCACAACAGTATTGTAGATATCTAAAGCTTCAATCATGACAGTAAAATCATCGTCTGGTGTCCAGGAACATCCACTGACTACGAGGGCTGGACGGTCTGATCGCCACTGACAACTACCTTCGGGAGAACTTGACGCTTCTGTAAAGACTGTGCCCTCAGTTGAACCACTTAAATTTCGCAGTTGTGGATAGGTTTGGGATAAACTGAAAGATAGAATACAAAATTAGTTACTTTTGTCCAAGGAAAATGAAATTAACAATTTACCATTAATTATAAACATTTGCTAATAAGTCGAATTTCAAGGTCACTGCCTTGCCTAATTTAAGCCGTTTATATGTCATTATTGGGTTCTTGGAACTGTGATTGTTTTGGGTTCAGGATTTCATCACAGAAAAATAGCGACAAAAAGCTATAAGGGTTCAAAAAGGGACAATTTCCACTATCTTCGTGTAGAGAATAGATAATATGGATGATCATATCTCTGAGAATCATCCATAATCCTGACAGCAGTAGGAGGTAACTCTGAAGCGTTTCAGTAAAACTATTGAAGTGGGCTATGTTGCTCAGAGTAAAGCCGGACATCAAATAACACACTTCTCCGCATGTTGCCACTCCAAAACATCGGTACATAAATGTCCAAATTAACGTACATAAATAAGGATTAATACGGAACAATGCAGTAAGATGAACTTAGAATGGAATTACTGAGTTAATCTGACAATGTTTTCCATTCAACAAGTAATCTTAGCGTCATAATAATAAAAAAAACAAAGAAAAAGTGAACAATTTTTCAGCATACCGGGTAAATAGGTTGTGTGCATCTTCCAAACTGGTTGGTTTGAATTCATTAGTGGGTCTGTCATAAACCACCGTAGCCTCAATGCCGGTTTGTTTTAGCAAATCCTCTTTAAGGGCCTCTGACACCGTAAAATGGGATGTCCTAAGGAATGATTTTGGATTGAAGAACCAAGCAGCGAAAGATATTTCCATGAATTTGTATATACTGCGAAAGTGAAGAAAACACTAAGAAAAAATAGCAAGAATTACCTAGCAGTAAAAGTTTTTCGACGAGAAGTCGCTGATAACACAGTGTAACCATAGTTATGCCAATCAATACAAACCGGACATGCTTTAAAAAAGGCGAAAAAATGAACTACAGAGAAGGTAGGTACAGCTGGAGGTGATTGGACTAGAAGGATATCCTCCTTCATATGAAGAATCAAATGTACAAGTAGACATATTGACAGAAAGAGCCACTAAACCAAAATAGACAATAAGATCTTCATTCACCTTTAATGGAAGCGAAAGAATCCGAGGCAGCGCATCAAGACACGGAGGCGGTTCATTTAGGTAACAATATTCAATATCTTCATCAGTATCTGGTTGGCTGCCACTATAACCAGAAAACTTTACTCTCCACCCTTCTAGAGCAAATGATTTGGCGTGATTTTTAATACGAGGAGAACGGGTAATATCACCCAAAACCAGTATGTGGACGGATGATCGAGAAGACATAAGAATTTCTGAATTCGAAGAAAAAAAGTGACCAGTGCAAGATAAAAATAATATTATAAATAAGCAAGGTTAAAGTTCGTAAAATATACATGTACAGTAATCCATACATAAAAATAAGCTACTTTAAAATATTAATGCAATTATTCGAGTGCTGTGGTAAAATAGTTACACGAAAACAAAAGCAAGCTAAATATCCAGGTTCAAATAGACATCCGGCGTTAGACGCATTACAAGGACGCACTTAAATTTCCACTTCCAATTTCAGCTCTGAAAAACGCTATTCCATGAATATTAAACTTTTAATCGAGACATTATTATATATTATTTAATCAACAAAATGTGCGCAAGCGATTCCGTTGAATTTCATTGGAGTTGCCGAGTTCAGTTATATCATTGATTAAAGTGAAATTTATTCATAAATTCGTATTAATGAAGTAAGCAGGTTTTAAAATTTTTGAAAATTCTGTTTTGTACGAGGCAATCCTATTTACTAGCATCAAAGTTCTTTATCAATATTCATTATTCATTATATAAATTTCCAAAATTTATCTACCTTTTCAAACGAGTATAAAAATATTTGGAACTAGAATGATATTTTTAAGAGAAGGATTGAAATAATCACTGGAGGATACATTTTGCGTTACAGCTTTAAGAGTGGATGATATTACTGGATATGGATTAAAAGATGTACACTGATTTATTTCTATCATAAAATATAAAGTATTACAGTTCATTTTTCAATGATCAATAATTTTAAATAAATGGCTTAATTAACTCTTTTCTTAATCGAAGCTAAATAGTTTTTTATATCAATGCAGATAGCACTTATTTTACATTTTTAATTTTAAATTGATATCGAGACTTATAATTTGGCTTTTTTCCTAAATGATAAAGCTTTGTCAACTTTAAAATAATGTAATCTTTTATATACTATACTGCAGATAACTTGACAATATCTGACTTGGTTACAAAATTTTAACAAAGCAGCAATTAAATGTGACAGGACAAAAATTTCGGAAGAAGGCTCATAGGCTTTAACGATTTGTCGATTTATTTGCACACGGTTTTATAAATTCCCTTTGACGAATTCCCATGACTGAAATTGTATCAAAGGAAGCTAAACTAAAAATAGCTTTTTCTAATATATAATTCTCATGATAAATATCATAAAGCCTGCCATTTGAAATAATAATAATATGTATTTCTTGGATATATATGTCTTTCAAGTTATAGTGAAAGTCATATGGTACTTTACAAGATGGTCACCACCCTATTAATTATATTTCTGAATATTTGTAAGGCAGTTCCCAAGTTTAAAGCAAAGAAAATTATATTTCCACCCCTAATTACGAATATAATCATAAAACGCTCCATTCCTCATTGCCAAAGTATATTTACTATATGATCATACTTTAGTTACGAAATCTTAGCCACAAACTAGGCCTTGATAAGTATTCATCGATTTTAAATTGTCGATTAATCACAACACAGGTTTGCTGTCATTAATTCAAGATCTCTGGTAAACAATTATGAAATGACTTCCGCCTCTAGCCGAGCGGTAGTTTCGCATCATTCACGTGATTGCGACCAAAAGGGAGAAATTTTTCTCTTAACGAGTTGACAATTTGTCTTTCCAATCTGTCTCAATGGCGTTTATGGTATCGGTTATGGTGGTAAAATAAATATGGTAACGGGTTCATTCCCCCGCCTCCATAAGAATAAGATACATAGGTTTTCGGAATGGAGACTTGTGAAAAGTGGCAGGTACATACAGAACATTTCTCATAAAAACCAGAATTCAGTGCAATTGCCAACAGGCTGGAACATAGACCATCACGCCCTGATTTGTGAATAAAGAGTTGGTTTTAAAGCCAAAATATAGAAAGTTCACAAACCACTTCTCGGCCTACTGTAAAAGTTGTTGTAGGTCATAAGGCATATCCCCTATTCAAAATATTCCGTTGATAAGACCTTTTAATTACTACTTAGAAATTCCTCTCTGACTCAATATAAACATATATAATACCGTTGAACAAATGTCCTTCTTAATAACATTTATTGCATAACATAGTTTAATCGTTGGCATATGGGGGGTTTAGCTGTGAGAAATAGCGTTCTTTAGTGACATATTATAAACATAGATGAACTACAACGGTCTGTGGACGGTGCAGTGTTAATAATATCATGTTCGGGTGAAGTGAAGAGGGTATTTAAAGTCCGTAGATCGTAGGTCAAATGTACGTTTTAAGGAAAATTAGCAAAGGAGCCTAAATTAGTTGTTAAAACCAGTGGTCTTTTGCTCCACAGCTAGCCTTTTGAGTTAATGCTGTAGTTCACACATTAAATCATTTAGTAAACAGAAAAAAGCAAGGGTTACCTATAGTGGTATAAAAATGGCTCCCATATCAAGTTAGGAGAGTTTTCTTAGGCTCTCGTCTTGGACAGAGAAATTGCATCGTTGAGCTTCCTTCTTGAAGGACATGAATTCGGTCACCCTCATTAATAATCAACCTTGCTCAGTGAGGCTGGTATTCCATTCAATCAGCTTCAAGACTTGGCTTCTAATAAGCTGAAGGAATGGGTTAAATGTTAATCCACCGGCTGGTTTAGTTACCTTTGCTGCTGTTGCGTAAGATATCAGGAAATTAGTCCAAAATTTGATCTTTTGACTTAAATAGACAAATTACTGGGTTTTGAAAGCGGTAAATCATTCCGTGTGCTATTGTCTCAGCGTCCAAATTCCAAGATTTGTCTCCTTAGTAAACTCCTACGCACGTTGTCTAAAAGGTTTTTGAATCCGTAGAGCAGATTGAGTGGTCAGTCATCTACTTTATATGCATTGTTCTATTATACAAGATACTAACGGATTAAGTAAACATTACATAATTTTAACAAAATAAAGCTTGACGGAGTTCACTCAAAGCTTCTTTTAGAATATTCCGTAATGCGCAAGTAGTGCTATGGAAATCCTGTTTTTAGTTGTTGTGCAAATAGGTCCCTAGTGTTAGCTATGTCACAGAGATTCTCAAAGAGAATTATAATTACACATTATCTCAACAGACTCGGGTGGGAATGTAAGCTACTAAACTACAAATTTCTGAAGCGCAAACGAAACCCCCCAAGAAAATCGAGTATTAACAATAGATCTTCATCACCCTCTCTCATACAAGACAGGCCATATTTTGCTTGCTCTAATCAGCAAAAATTGACAATCTCGATAAGCATAGATTCTGCTAGCTCGTAACATTTTACATGTATTTTCACTGTTAGAATATGCAACTTAGATGGCATAAATAATAAATCATTGTGGAATGTTGAGAGTTGGGAATCGGAGTTTATGGTAACTGACAGTTCTGAAATGCAGAGGTTAGTTGATTTTGAATGTGCGAATTCATGGTGTGGACTTGCTAAAATAGAGACGATTGCAAGTCAGTGGCTTTCATTCAGGTACATTTGAGGGTGAGTTTCAACTATGCGAAACTCTTAAACACCCAAATCATGTGGAACTTGGAGATAAAATGATGTCAGTAGCAAATTGAATTGTACAGTGACCCTCAGTTTCTATCTTCGCACTCCTTGTCAAAATCTTCTTGAGAAAGGCCCCTAGATTCATTCAATTTAGTTATTGAATACAAGAATCTGATTCCGCTCAAGAAATTATAAGTGTAACAAAATATTTTCTTCCATCAACTGATTTGACAAGAACCTTGTTTCCAGTCTTAAATCTAGAACACAGTGCGTTCAAGAAACTCTCCTTTGTTTAGATTTAAATCTATGGACAACAGGTCTCCAAAGCACAGTCCTCATTTCACCCTACTTGAATGGAAGTATTCAGGAAGGTTTTAGTCTTCATTCTTTGGAATACAATGGTGCTAGTAATTGAACATTTGTCTTTTAGCGTTGAACCATCTCAGATTTTAAATTTGGTTGCAAGTTCACTACAAAGATGTAATTGATGGCAAATCTTCTCTGCATTAATGTCCTACTCCGATGAATCAGACGCCATTTTGTAGTTGTATGGAGAGATTCAGGAGACACAAAGTACACATCCAGTTCACATTGATTGAAAAGAGCATAAACACTTTAGTAAAGAAAAACGATTTTAAAATTTGAAAACTATTTCTTAGTTTTAGTGTCAAAAAGGTCTTCGATTAATAGGAAAAAATTTCATTAAATTGAGACAAATCACCAAAGAAAAGGTGCTGTTAAAACAATTGAAATATACCTTCATACAACTTTTATAAAAGAAAAAAA